TTGGCCCTGGCCATCAAGGGAAGGGAGCAGGGCCCCCAAACCGATGGCCACCTAGAGGTTGCCCTCTCCTGGCTCAGTGCCTGAGAGTAGAGCCACCCGCCGCTTTGAGCCAAGTTTGGCGAGGGGACTCCCCCAGCTCGGGTGCCACACGTGGGCCCTCCAGAGCTGACCCGAGGAAACGACACACACAGTGGCGCCCTGTTCATGCAGCCATGAGCAGAGAGCACAAGAGGGTGGGTCAGTTTTGCGAGCGCTGCTAGTCCACAGGGGCAGCGGCTGCTGCCCTCCCGGGGGTGTGGGGTGGGGGCTTCCTGCTGCCTGTGCTGCATCAGCAGTCACTTTTGCTTCCCTGCCTCCTTTTCTGCAGTAAGAACAACCGGAGTTTCGACACTCCCGTGAAGGGCCCCCCGCAAGGCCCTCGGCTGCATATCGATATTCCCCGGGTTCAGCTCCTCATTGAGGACAAGGAGGGAATCAAGCAGATTGGTGAGTTGCCCCCAAGTCTTTGGCAGCTGCCTGAAGCCTGAAGGGGTGGGGTCTGAGAGCAAGCTGGCCAAGGGGAAGCATCGAGGGGAAGGGCTGCGCAGCATATGCCTGCTTGGGCACTGACTCATGCACTGCTCACCTCGGCCAAGTCACACGCAGCAGCCGAACCGTGGCTTCCCCTTGTCCGCAGAACAGCTGGGCGGCCTGTGTGCGACCGCCGGGCATGCCGAGGGGATCAGGAGAGCCCCCAGGAGATCAGGGCAGCCTCTCTGGGCACTCCTCCCAGGCCAGTGGCACCATGTCCCCCATGCCATGGCCCTGCAGCCGGAAGCTGAGGAGCACGTGGGCCTCTGTGGGCTGCCTTTGGTGAAAGCCACGCTGTAAGGTTTGGGCAGTTGAGACCAAGCGAGTCTTCGGAAGGGCCGTCTGCACGGTCCATTCATGGTATGAGCACTGGACCTTTGCTCCCACAGGAGATGACAAAGCGACCATCCCAGTGACTGACACAGAATTCAACCAGGCGGTGAACCCGCAGAGCTTCTGCACGGGCGTTTCCCTGCACCATCCGGCGCTCATCCAGAACACAGGCCCCCTGATCGACATGTCTGATATCCGCCCTGGCACCAGTAAGCGCTGAGAGGCACCCTCTGCACTGGCACTGCCTGCCTCTGCGCCAGCCAAGGCTCTCCCAAACCCGGGCAAGGCTGCTGGCTTCCTCACAAACGGGCCAGATGCTTCCAAAGGGAGTGCTCAGGTCACAGGAACTGGTAGCGCACGGGGTGGAGGCTCGGCAAGCTGAAAGACTCTGGGCGTGTGCTGCTCCCCAGCTTCAATCCAGCAGGAACACCTTACAGGGAGGGATGATGAGCTTGAGAAGCCAGTGACGGGTGGCACGGAGTGCACTTAGCCAAGGGTGTGGGCACATGCACAGTGAAAGCAGAGGGGCTGCAATAGGGTGGGTAACCATCAGCCACACAGGTGAGGAGGAAGGGGACCAGATACTTTCCAGTTAGAAGGCACCACAAAACTGGAATATGCATTTCGGGTAAACGGTAGCCCTACAGAGAAGCTGCCACATGCACATGGTGGGCATGTCATGAGCGGAGCTGGCTGGAGCTGGGGGTCAGACTAGATGGCCCAGGAGGCCTCTTCCGACTCACTCAGTTTCTAGGTTCCAAGTGTATATAGTGTGTCGAGGCTCCCATGAAAGCGTTGATCCTTCTGGCTGTCGCCAGCTTCAGAGATCTGCGACCTCAGGGAAGGGATCTGTGCACCTCATACGAGGCTCGAGAGCAGCGGGGCCCTTTGGAGAAAGGCCTGGCATGGTGCTCTTCAGGGCATGCAGGTCAGTGCCTTAGGCGCTGCTGAGGAAACTGCACAGTGAGTGGGGTGCCGAGAGTGGCGCCTCTGAGGAACCATGTGTGGGGGTGGGCACCTAGTAGGCGGTGGCGTGCACTGGTGGGTGCAGGGGAAATGGGAGGTGGTAAGGGGGAAGGAATCGGGAGGACTCAAGAAAGCTTCATGCCTGGGCGAAACACAGGAGCCGGGTAGGGGAAGAGCTGGAGCTTCCCGGCTTTGGACAAGGCTTGTCGCAATTCTTACCTTTCCTGGCCAGTGGGGAGAGAACCACCGGGTGGACGCCTCCTGGCTTTCTGCCCAAGGAGGGGAGGGGGGCAGACACGGTGCTTTGGGAGGCTGCTGCACCAGCCGGGTGCAACTTCCAAGAAGGTGCCGTCCCTGATGGCCCTCGGTCTCACCTGCTCTTGGAGCAGTTCCCTGGAGACGTTGAGGGCCCGGTGGGCACATGGTGCAGGCAGGTGGCCTTCTAGGTACATAGACCAAGCCATTGAGGGTGGTTAAAACAGAGCAAGTCCCCAAAAGGATATATCCAGGCTGGAGGAGTGGGCATTAAAATGACATAGGTGCTTATGGGTGGCAAATCAGCGCAAAACTTCCCAAATCCACAGATATGCAGGTTGTGGATAGTTCTGGGAGAGTGCTGAACCATCTTCTGTGAAAAAGGCAAATTGCATGTTGGGTGTCATTAGAAAGGAAGTGAACATGCTGCATCTCTGAAGAGAGACTGTGGAGGCGGGGCCAAGTGCTGTGGAGTGTGACCCATAGAAATAAAAGGAGGGAAAGACGACAGGTAAGGCAGGACATGGGAGAAAGGTATGAAACGGTGCCTAGTGGGAAAAGCGCGGGTGGGAGGTTCCCCTGCTGATCATACTAGACCTTGGGAGCCTTGAATGTAGCTCACTGGTGAGAAATCAAGCGAGAACTCCTGGCCCTGCATAAGCGGTGGCATCCGCTGCACGAGGGCTGGCCACCAACTCGCATGGCTTCAAAAGGAAGTTAGGCGGTCATAATGGCTGTGTGGGCAGCCTGTATCAGAGGCTGGGGAACATGGGCAGGGGGAGGTGTGCGTGCCCTCATGCCCAGTTTGTGAGCCCTCCAGAGAGTGCTGGACACAAGAGGCCCCGAGTCTGATCCAACATGGTGGTTCTCAGTTAATAAACTTGCAGCCCTGTGCCAAGGCAAGCTTTGGCTTCAGACTGTGCTTGACAACATCCCTATGTAGATGCCCTGTGGTATTCTAAACAGGAAGTTAGGAAACGTGGGTACTTGTGGCCAAGCTGTTTCCTCCTAGGTAAGGCTGCAGCTGGTACATCAGCTGAAGTTGGTAAATGATGATGGCTGCAGCAGCTGCCAAAGCTGGGCGCAACTCTGGGGCTTGGCCACGAACGGGTTTAGCCTGGGAGCAGCAGCCAGTCTGTCCTCAGCAGTCAGGTGCAGCGGGTGCTCTTCTTCCAGACCCAGTTTCCAGAAAAAGTGTGAAATCTGCACACAGTACCCGGAACAGGTACTCTAGCCAGTGGACCCTCACCAAGTGCCAGGCCTCTACCCCCGCACGGACCCTCACATCGGACTGGAGGACGGCTGGGTCCCAGCATGGCATAACAGTGACAGAGAGCGACAGCTACAGTGCAAGCCTGTCCCAGGATACAGGCAAGTGGCGTCCATTGGAGCGTGTGCTGCTTCCCGGCCTGCCGAGTGATACTGGCCCCCTCCCTTGCTCTGCCCAGTGCGGCCCTCCTGGAGTTGCACCGCTGCCCCCGGAAGAGGGGACCGGCGCAGGAGCAGTGCCCCAGCGGGCTCCTGGTGGTAGGCGAGGTCTGTGACCGCTCTCCTTGCCCCTACAGACAAAGGGCGGAACAGCATGGTGTCCACAGAAAGTGCCTCCTCTACCTACGAGGAGCTGGCGCGAGCCTACGAACACGCCAAGCTGGAGGAGCAGCTGCAGCATGCCAAGTTCGAGATCACTGAGTGCTTCATCTCCGACAGTTCCTCCGACCAGATGACCACGGGCACCAACGAGAACGCCGACAGCATGACGTCCATGAGCACACCTTCCGAGCCGGGCATCTGCCGCTTCACTGCCTCCCCTCCCAAGCCACAGGACAGTGACCGTGGCAAGGGCGTCGCTGTGCCTATCCCGCACCGAGCAAATAAAAGTGAGTCTCGGGCAACCACTGGCCACCTGGCCGGTTCTCCTCGCCTTGCCCCCCCAAGTCTGGCGCCCATCAGTGGCCACCTGGGCCAGCCATGCTGAGCACCTGCCGAGAGGAAGCTGCCCTCCCTGTCCACGTAGTGCCTGGCTGGCCGCTGGCACACGACCCCTGGGGAGGACCTTTTCTTAGGCTGGTGTCTCCTGGAGAGGCCTCAGTTGCCGCACGAGCCTGGCACTCGCAAGTGCTTGTTCAAGGGCGGAGGGGCAGAGCCGGTGGTGCGGAGAGCGAGGGGAGACCCTCTGGCGTGTTTAGGCTGGCATGGGAGGGCTGTGGGGAGCTGCCAGCACACCTCTTTACTTCTGCTTTCTGCCTTCTGCAGGCGATTACTGCAACCTGCCTTTCTACGTGAAATCCGAAGCATTCTTCCGCAAGCCAGAGCTTCGCGAGCCCTGCCCAGTAGTGCCACCCCGCGAAGCATCCACCCGCAGTCTGGCTCGGCCCTACCACGCCCAAGCCCAAGCCCAAGCCCAAGCCCGACGCCTGACCCTGGATGCCAGCAGCAAAGCGGCCGCCGGGCCCCACGTGAGCGCGGCCACGACGACTTTACCTCAGCGAACTCTTGCCATGCCCGGCTCAGCAGGTGCTGCCCCTTCTACCGCGCCTGCTCCTGCTCCCTCGGCCCCTGCACCAGGCCCCGAACCCACGCCTGCGCCTACTGCTGAGCCACGCTTACCCCCCCACACCAAAATAGGGGGGTCCAGAGACTCGCTCCTAGAAATGAGCACGTCTGGTATAGGGAGGTCTCAGAAGCAGGGAGCTGGTGCCTATTCAAAATCCTATACACTGGTGTAGCAGTGGACACGAGGGAACAGACTTTGCTCTTTTCCTGCATTATTTATATTGAAATAAAAGAAGATCTTGTACAGAATGGACTTTTTTGCATAAATGAAACTATTTTCACCTGCTCCAAACCTGAGGGTAAAAATCAACCATAGACGCAAAGCATTTAGGAATCTTTTACTGAAGGTGTTGCTCTTTGTCCCACGATGTCTTGGAAGAGGGCGCCACAGCTGAGGGTGCGCATGCCCTCCCCATCCTCTGTCCCTGATTGAGCAACCCCTGTAGGTTTTGCAGAGACTCTTTTGAGACATTGCATGTTGTTTTACTGTTTGGAAAACCATGGGACTTGCTTCGAGTTGCATCTGCCTCTGTGTTAATACCTTTTTCTATAAAAACAAAAAGCCAGCGCAGTGTGCAATAAAAGTTATGTTTCTATAATATCAGAGGCCTTTGTTTCAGGTGAGCCAGACCTGTAAGAGCATGACCGGGGCCATCCTGCAGCAGGCCATGTCCTGCAGACAGGTACCACTCCCTCACCAATCAATGCAATGTGGAGAAAGATCTGTCAGGGAGGGAATGATGACATCACCATTTCCCCACCCTGGGAAATAACTGCTCATTGCTTAGCACGGCAGACGGTAAGTGTAGAAAAGAAGGGACATGTCGGAAGCACACTGTGGCAGCAATACCGGTGCTCAGCCTCAGCTTTCTGCCAAGTCGATCAGTGCCTGCTCTCCCAGAGCCACGTCCTGGATGGGTGCACTCCAATCTAGAAAAAAAAATCGTCAGCCTATCTACCCAAGACATGTCAGAGAGAAGCTGCGCAGGCTTTAGTACCTAAAGCTCTTAAGCACCAATGAATTTTAAATTACTTATGCTGAAGTGATAGTCTCCTTCCCAAGTGAGGTGAGGAGACTCAAATGGTGCCGTGAAGACTGGAGTGGGGAAGCTGTGGCTGCCACTTTTTTCTTCTTAAAGAACAGTGGGAACTTCCACACTGCATGCCCAAGGATTAGGCTACCCGCTTGCGGCACTTCTGCGGTGTATGACGTGATGCTCCCGGCGATGGCTGCACCCGGGATGAGGGCAGTGCAGAAAGCACGCGCCACAAATGAGCAGGGCCGCTTTTCTAAGCCAACTTCACAACAGCGGAGTTGCTGGTTGCTAAATGCAGGCTGGTCTGTTGCCCCAGGTGCTTTGCTTTCCTTCTGAAAACGGTTGTGTTCAAGTAAACGAAGCATCTAGCCTTTCCTGCTATTACTGTACTGGGTATCTTTTCCCTGGTGCCATTAACATGGCTCTTGGTTGGAAGCCCAATTTGTATTAAAACCTAACCCCTTCTAGAAAGGGGTCCCCATGCTGAACACAAAAGTCTCCCCTATTCAGCGCAGCAACCTCCTTCCACAGAACTCAGCAAGAGGTTAGGACCCCCGTGGCCAATTCCGAAAACTCAAAAATTTTTGAAACCATGTTGGGAACATTCAGCCTACACAGGAAAGCTGCCTCTAAAGACAGGTGAACTGGGTGTGCCACGTCTGAGGTGAGGGGTGCCCCAGAAGTCATACCGATGTCACCCCCGCTGGTCACCTGAAAGCAGGTTCCCCTTGATTTCAAAGTAGGCAGGATTTGGAAGTGCACTCTAATTGTCATGCTCGTGTTGCTGGTATTTACTGCAGCAGTGAGCCTGGATAGTTAAAGGAGCTCTCTCAGTTGGATCATGCAGATCTTCTCTTGCGCTGCTGGGCACTGAACTGCAGTCACCTAGGAATACAGAGGAACAGTAACCAGGCAGGTGAGCACTTCCAGTGAAGTCCACAGGGGCCCTTGCTTTCAGAAGCCCCCTGGACCTAGAACCAGGCTTGGCAGGAGAGGATGCAAACCCTTCCGAGGCGCCACCCGCCCTCCTCCCACACCGCCCAGCCTGATCAGCACTGCATCTCATCCGATTATTGTGCAAGGCGCAGCAAGAATAGCAGCGGCAAAAGCCTATTTGCATAGGACGTGACTTCGAACAGCTGTGGAGAATTTCAAGGGCAGAGGAAAGTGTGCAGGAAGGGTCTGTGCATGAGCAGAGTGGGTGAGGTGGCAACACGAACTGCCAGTAGGCAAACGGGGCAGTCGCCAGCTGTGCCCCTGCCCCCCACAGCCCAGATCAAAATGCCCCCAGCATTCCAATCCTTGGCCTTGAGGCTTGCTCTTGCAGACCCTTACCTCTCCGTCCAGCGATCCCATAGATGCTGTTGTGCCGAGAACTCACCCCCTTCTAGAAAGAGTAAGAGGTAGAATTAACAGAGACCCCTCACAAGATGCCGATGCCAACGCCAGTGCCAGCCCAGCACGTGCACAGCAGGCCAACCCCACCATGCGCCATGCAAGGTAACGGGATGCACAGAGCAGATCAGAATCTGCTCTCTTGTGCTCACCCAACTTCTATCCCACATTCAACCCTGGCCAGGAAATGAGCAGAGCTGAGACTGAGCAAACACCAGTGGCTTCCTTGTTGAAAAGCACATACTGCTTCATGCAAAATATGCAGATCGTGCACAATTATTTGCACAAGTGCACGAAACCCACATATCACACGCAGAGAAGCAGAAGTCCACTTGAACCCACTTCCTGCTGGACTCCCATGTGATTCCTACTCTCAAGCTGGATTTCTCACACATCCCTAGTTACAAGCAGAGCAAAATGGGGTTGGCCATGCCCTTTCGTGTCGGGACACCGTCTTTGATGATGGCGGCAGTCCGCCATTGATGGCGGGCAACCACGAGAGAGACCTGTGCCTGTGGAGAAGTCCCAGAATGGGCAACACGCAGTCCACGGGCAGCACTAAGCAAGCCTCTCCTTCAGCACCAAGATTTGTGATGGCAGGAAAAAAATGGGCAATTTGCTGCTAAAAACCAGCTACATTCACCCTCTTCAACATTTCAGTGTTGCTGCTGAGATTCAATGACAAAATGCAGATTCCTCCCCTTCCCAGCCCGCAGCCCAATTCAGTGGCGTGCTGGAGGGAAGCCACCCGCAGGGGAGGTCAGGGTTCATGGGTGGCCACGAGGCCTCACAAAATCGCTCAGCCCTGTTAATCTCAGGCAGCTGCCTCTGGTGGTTCAAAGTCAATTCCTTTTATTGGGCACAGGATGCTGCCCAATGCTGCCGCAGCTTCAGTCTGTGTTCACGTCTCAACCAAAAAGGAGCCAGAGGAGGAGAGGGACCCAGGGCTAAACTTCGGAAGCCACTGTGGCCACAAGGGCCACGTAAAATTCCACTCCCATGGGGATGGTCCACACACTGATACTCAGTATCAGTCCCACTGTCCAATAGGAGGCTCTGTACTGCCACCATCCCATACTACCCCTCACTTCCACATGAAGACACCAGCCTTTCCCTTCGACTTCCACGCTTGGGTTCCATTTCCCACATTCAGCCCCCGGCAGTGAGCTCCACAGGGGCTGGGCAGCCCTCCTCCCCTCCCAGCCCCAAGTACTTGTCAGTCAGACGAGGCAGCGCCAGAACTGCCATCAACCTGCTCCCGCTCCTGCCCGTTTCCCAAGGATCCGAGGCGGCAGTGCCAGGGAGGACGACGCAGACGTACCCCGCTGTCTCGGCTGGCGCGGCGGCTCTGCGTCACGTACTGGACCTGCCACGGCAGGGGCTGGTGGATGAGATAGGGCAGCGGCTCCTCCTGGACCAGGCTGTTGCCAAGCTGGGCAGAAGGCAAGGAAGGGCCTTTCAGCAAGCAGTGCCAGGGCTCCCAGCATGAGAGGCCCTCGCTGTGCACCCAGCGTGCCGGCCACACTGCCGCCAGGGACCACAAGGCCACGGGGCCCCTACGTGGCTTGCCCATGCCCTGCAGCCCGTCTCTAGCAGAGCCTCCTCGCGGTCACAGGACAACCCATCTGCAGCAGAGAAAGCAGAAAGTGGGGCAGCAGGAGGACATTCAGCTGCGTGGCAGCATCACATGACAAGTGAGCTAAGCGGGTGGGAAGCACACCCGAGAAAGAGAGAGAGAGAGAGAGAGAGAGAGAGGGAGGGAGGGAGGAGAGGAGAGGAGAGGAGAGGAGAGGAGAGAGAGAGAGGGCACAAAGCGAGCGAGTGAGCGAGCGAGCGAGCAAGCAAGCAAGCAAGCAGAGAGCAGACAGAACAAGCTGCTCACGCCAGGCAGAGGCCTGACCCACTCCAGACGGTATTAACAGGGGAGGCGGGTGGCGCCGCTGGCAGGGCAGGGCAGGGCAGGGCAGGGGCCTCAACGGACACAGCGGCCCACGGCTGAAGTGCTGCTGGCTCTGCTGCTCATGTCACGCCTGCAGCACTGCCGAGAGGTATCGTGCGAACCTCCCTCAGTGCTTCCTCCCAGGCATGCAGTGGCGGCAGCCAGGCAGGCGCTCCCCGCATGACGGTGGCAATGCAGCTGGGACGCCCCCACCCCCAGTCACAGCAAACAACGGAGGCAGCCCTCCTCTGCCACCGTCTCAGGCAGCCTCACATCAACATCAGAAAGATACTGACCTGCCCCAAGGCTTTCACGAGGAAGTAGAGCCCAGTCATCAGTGTGGCCAGCATGGCAGAAAAGTCGAGAAGCCACGCCAGAGGCCAGTGTTCCCCAGGTCTCTGCGATGAGCTTATCTTGGCTGCAACAAGGTGAACTGGCAGCAGGCACCCCTAATAAGCTTAAGCAGACGGCCTGCCCTGCCTGCAAAGCCGGCTGTGCCGTCCTTGGGAGCGGCTAATCGTCACCACTGGGCCCGGAGACAGCTGCCTCCCCCCCCCCCCGATCCCCTGGGACTTGTGCGAGCATGCGCTGTCATCCCCACGCAGCGCACTGGGCGGGAGGAGGTGCGCAGCTCGGGGCGAGCAGCACAGAGGGAGGCATGCTGGCTTCACTTGCTCTCCCGGGGATTGCAGTCTGAGCAAGGGGCCGTCGGCAGCTCCACGGCACAAAGCATCCCATGTGCTACATGTCAAAAGCCCGAATTCCACAGCCAGCCAAAGCACTTGTTGCTTGGCATCTGGAGGCCATCTCATTCAGTCTGGCAGATACATGTCAGCAGGGCAAGGGGTAAGAGAACTCCCTCACCCCACCCAGCCTCGCTCTTGATTTCAAACAGCAATCTGGCAACAGGGAAAGTGGGAGGAGCCCAAGTAGAGTGGCCAGCACGGAAACGCGAGCACATGCGACTCTCAGAAGGGCACACACTGTGGCTGCAGGAGCGGAGGAGGGACAAAAAGCACCAGAGATGTATAGAAAAGTAAAATTTAATTGGTATACAAAATATAGCCAACAGCTGAGCCCTGTACCAGTTCACTTGCCACAACACAGCCCCTGACACAGGCCAAAGCAAGTCCTTTCTCCTGTCCAGGCAGCTCCTGCAGAGGCCCACCTGAATGGTGGGGTGTCAGCACCAGAGGGAAGAGAGCCGAGAGGGGCTGCCAGAAGGGGGACTCTCCAAGGAAGGGCCCCACATTGCCTACAAGGACGATGAGGAAAAAAACCCCGAAATATCCCAGAGGCAGTTTTGGCAAGCAATGTGCCGGCCTTGAGCAACAATGCATGGGAAGCCACATGTGGCAGCCCCCCTGCAGGCAACCCGAGTGCTCTCAGCTGCTGCCCAAATGGGGTGACAGTCCCCAAGCCCCGAGAGGAACTGCCAAGATCTTAAAGTCTGGCGGATCCGGTAAAACGGGACGATGCAGAGGTTTTGAGCCGGACAGTCTTTTGCGGCCCTTCCTTCACCCGTTCACAGCCAGCCTGGCACCATTTAACAGCTGCTGGGCAAAGCCAGTATGGCCCAGCAATCGCCCAGCCGGCAGCAGACCCAACTGAGAGACTGGGGGGAGCCGAGCGTGCGTGTGGGGGGGGGCGCTTTGGAAAGCAGCTCTTCCCTCAGGTAAAGCCTTGCGGAATGCATGGAAGAAGCATGCCACACTCAGCATGGAGGAGGGGGAGGCAATGGCACTGGCCAAGGTGCGGAGGCTTCCAAGTGCTTGCTTCGTGCAGCATGTGGCTTTCTGTGCTCCCAGGTGCACCTGCATGGAAAGGCAGCTGGGCAGCCCCTGTCCTCCTTTCAGAACTCACCTCCTTCCCTCAAGAAGCGATTTCGCCTGCTGGGCATTTTCCAGAATAACAGAAAGCTAACAAGAAAGCAACTAGTTATGAATTTCTTGAAAATATCTCCAAGAGCCGGGCTTTGTGGCCTTGACAAAGCCCAAGAAAGCATGCACAGAAGCTGCCAGGTACAGGGTTAATGCGGTATATTGTCATCCGAGAGAACATCAAGGCTTTGCTGCTGGGAATTTCAGCCTGATGATCAGCTTTCCAACCAGGCTTCACCCACGTGCCTAGAAGTGGTAGACCTTGATTTGGTTGTTCTCATCCAGTCCAAGCTGCACCAAACCAGTGCCACTGGCTGAGGACTGTGGCACACTTGGCAAGAGAGGACTAGCAGTTTAGGTGAAGGAAAGCAAAAGAACGTGGCTTCTAGTCCTAAGAAGAACCATGCTGAATTGGGTCTATCGACCAAACGGCTATCTCTTCCAGGATTCTGTTCCCACAACAGCAATGCCTGAGCAAAAGGATACAGTTTGGAATCCTGCCTGACACTCTCCAGCCACTTCTTGTTGGCTTCAATCATGCCCTGGATGTTTGGCCCTTCAGCCTCAGGTCCCTGTAAATGTGGCTGCTGGAACCGATGGACTTGTTCCCTGTTGGAAAGAAAAGGATGGCACTGGTCATGAGAGCAGCATTCAAAAAGCCTTTGGGAGGGACATAAGCATCAGTGCCAACTTCCCGAAGGAAAAAGGAGGGCAACAGTCAAACTGGATGCTGAGAGATGTAGTGGGGAAGATCCTGTTTCAGGTCCTGCACAAAACCAGAGGGTAGCTATCAGGAACTCTCGCTCCTTTGGGAGCACACTGCACTTTGTCCTAGCTGGCAGCCAGAAATATTGCAAAAAGGTCTTACCCAGATGTCACATGGCCCAGCTTGCTATCCAGAGGTCCAGGGCTTCTACAGAGCAATGAGAACTTACCTGGAACACAAGAGAGTTCATTTTCAAGCACAGCATTGCCCTCCCCTGTGTTAAAAATCAGTGTGGGCTAGAAACAAGCCATATTTGGCCACCCAAAGAGCATAATGTTAATGGGGCAGCTTTTATACAAATTTAATAAACAAACAAACAATATTTTCATTTAGAAAATCAGGCCATTCCAAAATCTTTGGCTTGTTTGCAGATCTTCCTGTTAATTCCAAGCAGAATGTGGGGGAAGGGAGAAGCCAATAAACAAACAAACAAACCAGATGCTTAGCCCTGAGGCTCTCAAAATGGCCTGCCATCTTTAGAAGCTGAGAGTTTTCCTAACTGAGAATTATTCTTCTACTTGTTCACCAAACCACGGTGTTGTCATGAATGAGAGGGTGCTCTCTGCCCCACCTATAAGAGGCACAATCCTGGTTAACTGAAGAGGTTTCATCTCAGGAGATGGTCTGGGAAGCACCTCCCCCTTCTGTCATTCCTTCCTTCCTTCCTAAAGGCAGCAACTCTTTTCCAAGCAACTCTGCTTCATCCAATCTAACCCCAATCCCAGCAACAAATTCCGACTAGTCACCCTGCAGAGCTGAACCAATGTCTTTTCAACAGTTAGGAAACCCCCCCCCCCCCGTCTCACCACCAGGTGCCACCAGGTAGTCCAGGGACTGAGGGGTAACAGAGCTACGCCTGGTATATATATATGAGATGGGCAGATGCAACACTGGACATTCTCCTCTGAAAGGCCAATTGCCTGTGTTTCAAGGAGGCGTGATGCAATCCAAGGGCAGTAAAAGAAGGGCAGAAGAACTCTCAGAACCACTGTTTATTATCTTTGAGAAACCTTGAGAGAAGTGCCAAGTGACTGGAGGAGGACTAGGGCTGTCCCCTTTTTCAAAAAGCGGAAATAAGGAGGAACCCGGGAACAAGAAACCAGTCAATCTGACATCATTCCCTAGGACAATTCTGGAAAGGATCATAAAGCAGTCAGTCTGCAGCCACCTTGAAAACAGTGTGCTGATTACAAGAAGCAAACAAAGATTCATCAAAAATAAATCCTGCAAGACTAATCTGATTTCGTTTTTTTGTTTTGAACTGGGCAACCCCCTGGTGGACTGTGGGAAAGCTGTGGACACAATCCACTTGGACTTCAGCAACGCTTCTGACCAGGTGCCCCATGAAGAGCATCTGAAGGGACAGATGTTGCAAAGAAAGTCCCCCAGTGCTTGCCTCATGCCTTAATAATGACATCCCTTCCTTTTGGCACGTCAGAAACCTGGACAAAAGGAGAAGCGAAGTTCTGGTTCACAGTGGAAGCAAGCATGGCCATCCTGAACTGAGTGGGCAGCAGGATGAAGAAGCTCCTGACCTACATTTTCTTCTATGTATTTGTATATATTAAGACAATAAAAATTAATGAAAAAGAAGGGCCTGGTCTCAGCCTTCATAGTCTGGTGCCTTCCAGATGTTTTAGGCGACTTCCAATATTTTAACCATGATCCCCGCTGGCTGAGGCTCATGAGAATTGGAGTGGAAAGAATCTGAAAGTCCCAGGTTGAGGAAGACTGAGGATGCCCCATGCTGGGGAAACTGCAGGAGCCTGGGCGCGCAGCGAGCGATGCCACTGCCAACACTGTGCAGTCTGAAGTCGACTTCTATGCCACCCCCAGCAGGCTGACTCCCACCTCTGGAGAGGGGTGGGGAGGAGGAAAGACAAGTCCTAGGGATCCCTTCTGGGCTGGCAAACTGCTGTGGCTGGAAAAGGCTGCCCTAGAGAGGGAGGGGAACACGCACGTCTCCCAGCCCAACCTTCAGGACCGCCTTCTCCAATCAAAAAAAGGCTCGCCTCCTGCACAGCAGCCCCGAGAGTCTGGCCACAGGATGATGCCAAGATGGGAGAAGGTCTGAGGCACAGGCTCTCAGGTGCCGTTGCTGCTCTGCCAGACACAGGGAACAAGCTTCTCTTGCTATGCGTCACTCCCCAAACCCAGGGACACCTTGGCCGCTGGCGAGCGCCGCACAGCTTTCGCGGGCCCTCGATCCCGGCAACAGACTCATGGGGTGGGGGAGGACCGGTGTCTGTATGCCAGCAGCCTGACTGGTTTGAATCAGGATGGGAAAATCCGCTCCGTAATGGCTGCAAGCAAGCAAGGTGTCCGTGAAGGTTCTCACCGGGAAAGTACTTGTGCCACTTCTCCGTCAGCAAGCAGTCCACGGAGTGGTGAGCCACGGCAGCAGCGCTCTGTCCTGAGCCAGTTCCCCAGGCCCACTGAGGCCCAGCAGGAGGCAGAAGCGGAGTGGCGGAATGAACACGCGCCAGAGAGGTGTAAGCAGCAAGAGGAATGCCATCCCTGGGCCCTGAGGACACCGGGCTCTGGCTGGACGTGAAGAAGAGAGGCTGCTGGTTGCTGAAGTTGCTCAGGAGGCCAAGGACACTGTTCAGGTCTCTGGTGATGCGGCGGAGTGAGTCGGTCAAGTAATGGATTTTGTCCAAGGGGGGGAACTGGAGATCCGGCTTCAAGTCCACTATTACAAAATGAGAGTGAGAGAGAGCGCGAGCGAGAGATGTTGAGTGTAGCAAACAGGAAGATATGGGGTAGCTACATCGTCTAAGTCACCCACAGCTGTCCAGCACTTTCTGGTAGTGAAAAGCTCATCTGCTGTGAGAGGCTGACTCCAGCCCTGGGGAGGAAAGAACGGGGCCAGGCGTGAGGGGTGCTGGGTCCTGGCCGCAGCGTCTAACCAAACTCTTACTTTTGCAGGGAAAGCCGTCAGTGCTCATCATACTGCTGGCATCCTCCGAGTCACTGAGGTCAAAGGTCACCACCTTCTTGCATGCCACTCCCTTAAGAGTATCTTCATCGGAGATCTTGAGAAGAGGAAGGAGAACAGCCTTCCTTACTGTGTACTCTAGCAGGGTTTCCTTCCTCCTGCACCTCAGGAACAAAGATGACCAGAAGGCAGGAGCAGAGGGCTCCTTCCAGCTGCAGAGCCCAGAGGAGCCGGGCTGGTGCCATCCTTCCCACAGAAAGGTACTAAAATACATTTCAGAGGTTGCTGGTCCAGTTTTTACAGCCACCTTCACCCCGTCAAATGCTGCTTGACCCCCGTCAAGTTGAAGGTTACTGGCAGAATGAGTGATGGACACCTCAAGGGTGGGACCCTCGAAACTGGCCCAATATCATCCTTGCCAGCAAGTTTGCTTTAAGCAGGAGTTATGGGAAGACACCTGCAGGCACTGATGGCCGTGCCAGCAAGAGAAGACCAGCTTATGGCAACCAGACAGAAAGGGAGCCGCTTCAGCTGTTCTGAGGATGGCAGGAGCCACAGCGTCCTCTGCTCCAGCAAGGCGGAGGAGCGGAGTCCGGTCTGTGAGCTGCACGCACAGCTGCACATGGGCCAGCTGTCATGACTGAGCTACTGTTGCGCTCTGCTCCACACACCCCGGCTGAGTTCCCATCCAGGCAAACCACACCTCAGTCCTTGTTGGGACAACGGCTCCCTCGTGTGTTGGCACTGGCAAGAATGGGGTCTCCACCCCAACAAGCCCCTTTTCCCGCTCCAGGCCACAAGAGCAGCTGCCCCTCACGCAGGGTGGAGCCACTACCTCCTCGAGGAGTGAGGACTCCAGCTGGCTCAGTTTCTCCTCTTTCTTCTTCAGCAGTGCTTGGCCCCTCCGCATGGCAGACCTCATCTCATCCAGCTGCCTCCCCTCCTGCAAAGGAAAAGGTGCTGTGTTCCTTTCAGCATCCTTCCACCTCCCCTGGACAACAGCAGGGCAAGAACCAATATGCTCTTCCTTCTCCCAAGTGTTGGAACGTTCAATGGGCCACCTGAACTTCTGGGAGGTTTTCATACTTGACTTTGTTCCCGTATTATTTGCAAGCTGTCCTGAGAGTGGACATGTAGAATGTAGGAATACAAGTTTCAAACAGGAAACTCCAAGGCCCGCCCCCCTCCCCCCAGCATTCCCATTGCAAAACCAATTGCATGAAGCGGCTACCTCTCTTCCACAGGAAAGCATCTGGCTCCCTTGGTGGCGTCCGCCTTCCCAAACGGGCTGGCCTGCTGCTGTGTCCAGAGCGATCTTGGCTCCCTGACGGGAGGGGTGACTGGGGAAGAGCCATCATGGGTGCTCTGGGGAAAAGCTCGGGGAATCTCACCGGACAGCAGGACAAGCCTGGCTGCATTCCTATGATCCAGCGTCCACAGCCAAGCCCATTGATGCAAAGACGAGATGCTCCTGGGGCAGGCCAGCTCCCTCAGGCTCCCTCAGGCCTCTGCTTGCTCCTCCTGCCACTCACCTCTTCCAGGTTCTGGCGCACGCCCTCCAGCATCTGAGTGCAACCGAGGTCCTGAGCGGCTCCATGCGTCCTCTGCAGGTCGTGGCGCCAGCACTGCTTGGCTGTACTCAGGGCGCTCTGCCTTTTCCTCATGGACTGTGTCTGGCGCACCAGGAACTCCTTGGCAGTCTTTAGGGAGGCTCCTTCAGCAGAAATGTAGTGGCGCATTCTGGAGGGAGGGAGGGAGGGATGCTCACAGATGGCCAAGCCATGCCCAAAGTTCTGGGATGCACAGAGCGAGGGCTGACAGGCAGGCTCTCACCACACCACCGACCTTCCCTAAAAAAGGGGGGAGGGGCCAGGGAAGCCACCCAGCCACTCGCCACAGCTCTCCAAGCCCAGGCCACAGACATGACGACACTGCTCTGACTTACTGATCCAGGAGGAGGCTGCTTTCTTCATTGCTCTTTGGAGACTCAGGTGCCATCTCTCTGGACGAGGGCTTGAGGGTTTAGTTGGAAAGTCTATTAATCAATATGCAAATAACTGCTGAATCCCACTCCTCCCCCACAAAAATTATGGGCTAAAGTGGGAGGTTGGCTCAACGGACCCCCAGAGCCCCCCACAATGACCCGCCACCTGCCTGCCTGTTTTCTCTGCCAGCTGGCCCGCTCTCCTGCAGGTCTTCCACTCGGAGCACGTCCTCTTTCTCCCCAGAGGATGCTTCAGCTCTTCCCTCCTCTAGCTCCCTCAGCAGCTGTTGCTTCTTCTCGATGGCCTCTTCCAGGGCACTGCCAATAACACGGGAAGCAGGAAAAAGAGCACCCCAGCATCACACAGCAAATAGTGCTGCCTACCCCAAGTTTGGTTTCCATTTGTGGTAAGTGAAGCTCAGCAAAATGGGAACTCTATTGTTCCTATTGAACATTTAATAGGGTTCAGGATTGTGTTACAAAACGAGCTGTCCTGGGAGGATTCTGATGGTTGGAGGGTGTTTACAATGGGCAGAAATGATGAGCTGTGCAGAAAAGCTACTCAAGGGAGGCTTTTTCAAAATTGCCCTGTTTTCAATGGAACTTTCACCCTATATTAGGGTTAGGGTGTGCACCAGGGTAGGGTTAGAGTTAGAGAAACGCGGTGTCCTGGCATGATTTTGATGGTTGAAATGTGTTTACAATGGGCAGAAATGTTGAGCTGTGTAGAAAAAGCTACTCAAGGGAGAGTACTCAAAATTGTGAAGCTGAGGAAAAGTGAACTCTTTTGTTGTTATTGAACATTTAATAGTGACACTGTTATAGAATATTATAGTCTGTTTTGTTTGGTTTTATGTTGCATGTTGCCTTAAGAGGGCTTTACTCTTAAAGGGGGCCTGAACATAAACTACATAATTCAAAGTTCAGTGAGAGCCATGCAATATGACACCAGTTCCCTCCGTCTCAGTGGGGAAATGCCTCTGAGTTAGTGCCTTCCATCACTGAGAAAGCCAATCAGGCACAGGCAGTCACTGGGCTATGGACAAGTTCCATTCCTGAGAACATTCTTTTGTTGAATTTGTGTGTAAACTGAATCACATATAGAAAAAGCATATAAAATCCTTAAGTAACACTTCCACCTAGACTAAAATATCTTAAACACAATGCAGCATTTCATTAATAATAATACAGTAATAATAAAGTAACTATAGGTACTGAGGAGAGAGAGAAGGAGGGGAATCTGCATGTTCTGCATGAAGATAGACAGTGCAGTTCTTACAACAGTTTAGATAGAAAGGTAGAAGAAACAGTAAAAAGATGACTGGAGGTTAACACTTCTTGAATGAACATGAAGCCTAACATTAACTGGATGACGATGGAGATGGGTCTGGGGCGAGCGAGCCAGGGTCTTACACTGTCCTACGGGCATCTCAGTGCTTGCAACAGGAACAGAGCAGGGAAGCAAATGAAAACATGGCGACTACTCAGACTCCAGCAAAGTGTTGCCACAAGCGCACCTGACCCGCTGCTGCAGTCGCTGGCTCTGCAGCTCCAGCCCCTCCACCTGGGACTCCAGCTCTGTCTTCCGGGCCTGCAGCTCCCCCAGGGCCCCATGCAGCTGCCGCGTGGTCGCTGCAAGATCTTCCTTTTCTTTTTGAGACACCTCAAGACAGATGTGAGCTGCTACAGCGGCTTCCTGGGAAAGGAAGTTCAAGGCTTGAGGATTATTTCATGCTGGGATAGGATTTCTCAAGGTTGGGGGGGGGGTGTCACTCCTGCAGCTCCAATTTGAAAGACAATGATGCTCGTTTCCCCAATCTCGTGATATTCTTTTGTCATTTTCTGTAATCCTTCTTTTACCACCCTAAATCAATTGGTGAAGGCAACAAATGTGGCCACTTTCTAGCTTCTGCCTAATTCCAGATCTTTTTTCACTAAGTTGAAAAGCATTAGCCTCAATGCAGATCCCTGCGGGGCCCGTTTACAGAATTCTGAGAATTTATCATTTATTCCTACTCTCTGCTTTCTGGTTGTTTTTTACCAGTTATCAATCCATCAGAGGAGACCTCTTACTGTTCAACTGCTCAGTGCCCATCACTGCAATACTGGAGGGAGGTTTAGCAGCAGCAGCTGCTCCCACAATCATCAAAGCCTCCATCCAAGCAAAAAGCATCCCTATCCTCTTGTTCCTCCCCAAATTACTGGAACAGCCTCGTTCTGAACCAGTGATTGGCAGGACGCTGGCCCCCCAGAGTCCATGGCAGAGTCCATGGCTGGCTGGCCCCCTTAACCCTGCCAGGAGCTAAGCTGTGGTCTGTTCTATGGAAGAAAAAGTGCAAGATGACACCAATGGCCTTCCTACCAGTGCTCCCTGTGCTGGAATTTTCCCACTGACCACCCATGGGGTAAACTAATGGGCTGTGTCTCAGTGACAAGGCACATGGCCTGCAGAAATTCCCAGGTTCAGTCCCTGAAACCCTGAAGAGCCCTGCCAGCCAAGTGCTGGTAATTCTGAGGGCGCTGGCCCCATGCCCAAACAGCAGAAGACGGCTTCTTCCCATGTCCCATGGGAAACCGGGCTCCTGGTCCAGGCTTGTACTCACAGCAACCTGCAGGTGGAGCCTCCCGCTCATGCTCTGCCAGCTGATGCCTCTCCCCCAGGCTAATTATTACGGGAGGGAGATGCCCCCTTCCCTGGTGGCACGTACATTTCTCTCGTGCTCCAGCTGCTTCTCTTCCTCCAGGAACTGCTGCCTTCTTTTCCTCCAGGCTTCCTCCTGTGTGTGAATAGAGTGCGCCAAGCTTTTGAGGGACAGAGTCCTGCCTGCTTGGGCAGACTCGTCAGCTGGCAATCCCTTCGCAGAGACATGCCTTGGGGACAAGTTGCAAGGGGCTCCAGCTGCCAGGCAGGCGCATGGGCCAAAGGTGTATTCCAGAACAAGCCTCTAAGCAGCTCACCCACCTCTGCCTTACACAGTAGCAGCAGAGCCTCCTGTGCGAGACAAGCCCTGTTTGGGCCCATTAGCAGCCACAAACACCATGGGATGCACAGGCAGCTGGGCCTGCAGTCGGAGACAGCACAACAGAGATTCCAAGGAGCAGCTCCAACAGAGCCTGGTGCTTCCTGGAATTTTAGTTTGGCCTGTAAGCAGTGTTGGGCCAGAGCCAGGTCAACTCTGTTCTTCCAAAGAGAAACTGGCAAGCCAACAAGGATGCATGCTGGCGGACATGCATCATCACACACAGTAGTGTCTTTGCAGAGGCAGACAGTATGACAATCACAATGACAAGAATAGCGCAGTCCCTGCTAGCTAATGACACAGGCCAGAAAGATGGAAGCTTCAAGTTGTGTGAAACTCAAGAGAAGGCAGTGATCCACAAGGTGCAGGAAAGAAAGCCACACTCATGGCTCTTCCTCTTCTCCTGGGCACAGTACACTTCAGAGACACCTGAATGGGAGAGCCTATTAGCACATTAAGGCAGCTGGGAATGGACATCTTTGTGAGCGGCTTCCACAAGACTGAAGTGGCATTCCCACTCCACGGCCCAATCATGTGGGCATTTCCTATGGAAAGGCACTTGTGTTCCTAGGTATGTGCAGTCTGAATGGTTAAGAACTGCCCCATTGAGGCCTTTAAGTACGGCTGCAGCTGCTTGCAGGGCAGTGGAACTACATTCCAGCCCAGGTGACAGTGAGCAGAGTGTGATTTGTGCCCTGGAATGGAGCTGCATGTGGACTGCTCCCAGTTATCTTTCCTTACCTGCTCCTGGCAGCTCTTGTGCAAGTCCTTCAGCCGCTCCAGCTGCTGTTTCTGCAGGGCCTCAAGCTCCGCCTGATGGAGCAGCCTCAAGCGCTCCTGCTCAGCTCTCTGCTTTCTCTCCTGCCACATGTTCAAAGTGAGAAAGGAGAGGGGTAACCCTACATAAGAGTGAGGGGTGACAGCTTCCCATCTCTTCCTCCAATAGCTTTGTTCCTCTTTGCACCCCATAAGCAAGACCGCTGCCACGAATCCCCCCTGGAAGTACTCGCTACTGCTTCCCGCAAACAATTCCCCCAAACATGCTGGCTCCAAGCTCACCTCCTCCTCCTGCTGTGCTTGCAACCCAGCCAGGGCTGCTTGGTGTGCTTCCTGCATCCTCTCCAGCTGCCTCATGTGTTCTCTCTCCACCGCTTGTCGCTTTTCCTTCAGGAGGTCACTGAGCTGCAGTCATGTCAAATACGTCCTTGGTTAGGCTATTACTCCCTGACCATGTGAGAGGATGTTGTCAGGGAACACTGGCCAGCAAGTAGCTCCCCACCAGTGCAGCTGCACAACAGCATGGTCCGCATCTCAACAGTTGCAAGGCTGTCACACATGTCGGGCGACTCACCAGAAGGGCCGGAATGGGAAGGGCAGAAGCACCGGTCTTCCAGTCCCAGCAGCCTTGGCTCTTGTTGGGAGTTGAGGTTGCTCCTTCATGCATACAGGCCTACAGACCTTTTCCTTGTAAAGCGTTACTGACCAAAAGTACAAAGCACCCAGAATGAACCTCTGCAGATGCACCGAGTGGAGGTCAGTTGAACCCAACGTAGTATCCAGCTCCAGGAGCTCTCCTTGTGAGCATGCCTGACCCCCATCCCTTCAGGAGGGGTCTTCCGAAATGAGCATGCCTTCTCGCTGCATGCCGATCCTCTAACTGGGCCCCCTCCTCTGCTGGCAGCACGTCATGGGGCCTAGAGCCGGGGCCACCTCTTCTGTCTCTCAGAAACTCCCCTGTGCCAAGTCTCCTCCTACCAAGTGGACCTCCTGGTTATTTTCAAAGATTGCCTGCCCACCTAGGGAGGCTGCCCTTGGGATAAGCGTCTCACTTCTCTCATCTCATTGTTTTGGGGTGGCCCACATTCCCCTCCTCCCCACAACTGCTGCTCTCCCATTTGTCCTGCTGATTTTTCTGAATCCCAACCAGTAGCCACCTTTCTCACTCCTGGCACAGCAGAACACAGCCCTGCTCCCAGCCAGAGTGGGTCTTAGCAAATTTATGCATCTGGAGGTTTTGCTGGCCTGCCTGCCTGGCCAGCTCAGTGGACCTTTGGGTTGGAAACTGTTGTCTAACAACTGCTCACCTGCCACCAGACTGTCAGGGGTCCTACTTAACTGAGTCCCTTCAGTCCTTTCCCACCACATTTAGGAGTCAGGATGAAGAGTCTGGCCAGGTACAGACATAACACTAAACCATGGCGGAAACCGCAGTGGCATGGTCTGTCGCAGTGTCTGCACCCCGCCAGAGGCTTAGTGTGTGGTGTTCGGCTTCCGTTCAACTATGGAGAGAAACGGCATTCTGCTCTATGGTTCCCATGCTTCACCGGGGCTTGCCCAATTGCGTAAACCCAGCAGCACGGTTTCCCTGCTGCTTTGGAATGTCGCCAGCCAAGCTGGCTACAGCAGCAACCTGGGAGACTGTTGGGAATGAGCGAGGGAGCTGCTCTGGCCACCCCTCCTGGGTCATGCCAAGGGGGCCTAGGAAAACGGGCCTCCTGACTGAATTGAGAGAAGCAGAGAAAAAATGCCCTCAACTTACGGGGAGGCAATGTGCACAGGAATCTCCTATGCAGAGCAGTTGTGTATCTGTGGCACTGGAAAAGTAGACTATGCCGTATGCTAGCTGTTACATGGTTCCCTACAGAAGAACTAATTTCTAGAGGATCTTTTGAAAAAAGGAGCTGGATGGCCGCCAGCTGACATTATCTGCAACTGATTGACAGATTCTAGTAACTCCATCAAAAACAAGGTGATTATTGTTGCATTAGCAACACAGAAAATGTGTCCTTTTTTAACAAGAGAATGTTTGTGGTGGATTTTGAGAGAGATTATCTGGTACAGATTTGTGTAAATTTATGCCACTGTTTTGGTTACTTTTAAAGGTATAGATTGCATTCCACATCAGTATATTTTGTAGTATCCTATTTTATAAAGGCCTTTGCACCACAGAAAAATAAATTCAGTTCAGTTCACCCCTTGCTCATCACCTCTTGCTCATACTCAAGTATCTGCTGCCTCTTCTGCTGGACTGTTTGCTCTGCATCCTCCAGCTCCTTTTGTAGTTCAGCCTCCTTCCTTCTCTGGGCCTCTGCAATCTGTATCTGGAGGGCCAAGACGACCTGCCAGGGAAGGGAAGGGAAGGGAAGGGAAGGGAAGGGAAGGGAAGCAGAAACCTTCAGACACCCTCTTTTAAAGGGTGCAGTAGACAGCCTGCTTTTCTCTGCTGGCCAGGTCACCTATTTGGAACTTGAGCTGTTCAAGTGGTCACCCTCAGATTTACAGGCACAGGTTATGTGCCTTTGCAGAGCTTAATCTGAGAACCTCCTAAAGCTAAAGAAGAGTTCAGGTGGACATCCTGCCCCTGCTCTCTGATCACATGCTCAAGAGGCACTACTCCTGCTTTCCTGCTCAGTTCGATTCTCCTACAGCTATAGAAACAGAAGTGCAATAGAAACACAAAAGCAGAAGCGGGGTAAGCAGGTAAGTTGTATAACTGCACAGATGACAGGTAAGCAACCTTCTTTCGTCTTCATGGTCCCCATGCAATCCCACATATGGGTAGAGTAAAAGACCCACTTACTGCATATTGGCAGTTGCTAAGAAGCCAGAGAGCTGAGCAGAGTCCTTCCAAAGAGGAGTCTGACCTGGCCCAGTTATCAAAGTAATATTGAACATCTGTAACATGTGGTGCAGACCTGGTGGGAGCCCTGCTTAGCAAAGTGGCCAGCAGATGGCTTCCTTGGAAAGGTTAACTGTGACCAACGTCCCCTTATGCAGAACACACTCTTCCCAGATTTTCAGCACCAAGCGCACACAATATAGGACCTCGCTGCCAACTGCTCATGCAACCCAGACTGGGCATGCTGTGGAACTGCTGAAAGGCTTTGGACACTTCCAAAGCATTTATAGAGGGTCTTCTCTCAAGAAGAAACAGGGTATTGGTGTGAAAGCCTCCACACGGTGCTCTCCAACGCCAGCAGGAAGCATCAAGCATCGCCCCCTGAGGTGGTCAAAATGGATCAAGCTGCAAGTCCCTGCCCATCATGTTGGCGTCCTGCCTACTCTGGACTGGAAGTCGCTGGGTGTGGAGCGACTGCAGCAACGGCTGCCACAAGACCCACCAGAAATAAGCATGGGGTAATCAAGCCTGCCCTGTCTCTGATCTCTGGCAGCCATCATGCTGAGGGCGCTGGGGTACAGGAACTGCGCATAACACGTGCTTCTTCCTATCCCAGCTAAGTCTGCCTGTCTCTGTGTCCCCACCTGTGTTCAAACACATGCATGTATCCCCCCATCTCACACCCCCCAGGGGAAAAAGATTTGCCCTTAGGGCCAAAATCTATGTACCCATCCTGAACTGAGTCCAATCATCTCTTCCTCAGAGATGGACTGACTAGCAGCCATCTAGTCAACATTGAGCCAGAGGAGAGGAATCCATTTGCCTCTGGGGGGGATGTGTTTTCTTCAGCACTGCTACTGGTGGGGAGGGAGGGCATCACTGAGTCTGACAGCTATTTTGCCTGTTGGAGGTCCCAATACCAATGATTTTGTCTGTGCCACAGGCTTTTTTAGACACTTTTGAAGGTGGCAATGCGTACTCCCTCCAAGATCATTCCAGTTTTACTGCAAGAGTGGAACCTTGTGTCAAGGACATAACTTTAGCCCTAGATGGATCAACGGGTACCAAGTCTGATATGGAAACTGGTGGTCTATGTAAGTACAGCAGAACGTATCAAGATTGAAGTAACCTGAGAGACACCATGGACCCTGTTCAACTGGCTGATTTGTTAAGAAAGCAACAGAAGAAACTAGTGCAGAGCAGAGTGCAGAGTCCTTTGATCTGGAGAAGCTGGGATCTGCAGCCTCAGGGCCTGAGAGCAGCAGAACAAACCCAGAAAGCGAAGCTTGCCCAGACACAAGATTCCAAAGGCACATCTGCCCAATACAGGCAATGCCTAGTCACAAGGAGGAGGCAAGCAGTTCCTTCTGGATCATAAGAATCTAACTGAAAACAAGATGAAGAGAATACCAGAATAAGTTTAAAAAAATAGTCTGGGGGGCTAGAAGGGGGCTCGAGCTAACAGCATTTTCTCATGCTCCTCCTAGGGCAGTCAGAAAAGAACTGGCTATGTCTTCTTGAGCACGCCAGCCAAAAGTGAGGGGAGGGCATGCAGCAAAATTCTTTGGAAGCTTCCAGAATTAGGCTCCACAGAGCTACAAAATTCGTACACGAGACTACACAGAAATCACAAAGAAGGATAACACTATACTCATGGCAGGCCAAGCTGGGACAACGCTGCAGGCGCTCCTCCTGATCTCGCACCTTTTGGTGTTCCTCTTCTGCCACAGACTGCTGTTGCTGCATCTCTGCTGCGTGCTGCACCTCCAGTTCTCGCATGGCCTGCAAAGGCATCAAGTAGCCAATCTAGGTCTAAGACGGCTTGTGCCAGGAGCCCCAACCCAGTGCCCACAGAGACCTCCAACACTGTCCACCAAGCTCTTCCCCTCATTGCTTTCCTTAAGATAATTGTGTTAGGCTGGACCCCGGAAGTCTTCTTCTTAGAGTTTCTCCTCCTCTCCTCTTCTAGCCCCAGGCCTACTCCCTCCCTCCTCTCCACCTTGCTTTTTTCTCCTCCCCCACCAGGAAAGGAAAGCTTTTTCCTGTTAAGAGCATCATTCCCTTGGGGATAATCTGATAGGAGACTCCCCACTGCTGCTCAGCAAGGTCAAAGCCAGACAAGGCTGCAGCTACCTGTTATCTCTCTGCCACCAGCCTCGGAGCTCAGGGAGCTGTCAAGGAAGAACAGGTGGCTCTAGTCAGAGGCCTGAACTATCACTTGCAGTGAACTCCTGAGTTATGGCAAGAACAGCATGAAATTGGGCAGAGCACCTCCTGGTTTCAGGGAGTCAGGGTGTCCAAACCCTAATTTAAAGAGAGGCGTCCTCCCCCAGGAGCCTCACTGGCTCTGCTATTTAAACAGGCTAGCATCTGCTTGCCTCTTTTGGAGTATGTCTACTGTCACCTAAGCCCCTGTGGGGTATATTTATGTTTTCACCTGATCATTCCTCCAAGGAACTCAGGGTGGCCACCTCCCTCATTTCACCCTTGCAGCAACCTTGTGAGATCCACTAGGCTCAGAAATATTGACTGGTCACAGGTTACTTGGTGATCCTCCTGGCCGAGGGAGGATCTGGAGCCAGGTCCCATCACTGCGACACTGTAAGGGCGCTGCAGCTGCACAGTGCCTTGAAGGGAGCTGATCCCCATGAACTGTCCTTCACTGCCCTTTGCAAGTCTGGCAGCTGCTGCCACGCACTTTGGCAATGGCTCCATATTGTAGCAGAGTAGAGCCTGAGCTGCACTAGGGCTCCTGGGGGCCTCCTTTAAGTTCACAGAGCACACACACCACTTTTCCATACCTGCCGACAGAGATGCATTCCTTAACCCTTTCGAGTGATCAGTGAGCTCTGGCTGCCCAGCTCCACCCACTGCAGTGCTTAAGGGGCAGCGCAGCACCCAGCCCAAAAGCCAGAATTAAGGGCTCCAAAATTAGACTTTTCTGCACTCACAGAGCTTGCTGGTGAAGGAAGGGACGAAGGAGGCAGCAAGCTGGGAGCCCCAGCCTCACCTCTTCCTTTTTTTGGCACAGCCTCTCCTTTAGCTCACTCAGGTCTCTCTTGCTCTCCTGCTCCAAGATCATCTGTTCTGCCTGCTGAACAGCTTCTGCTTCATTCTTCATTTTTTCCAGAAAAAGCAGCTTCTGCTTTTTCAGCTGGCCCTCCTGAGTCTGCTGAAATGATTCCAGCTCCTCTCTGAATTTGTGCAGTGCAGCCTCCTGTGACAGCCTGAAAAGTAGCCAGCAAAAGTTCATCAGAAACAGTCCCTGCCACTTCAACGCTTAAAAAAACAACTAATTTTATGATACAATACAAAAATTTATCAAAAACAACAGCAAATCAACCAGAGCAACTAATAATTAAATTATTAATAATAATCACTAAAGGTACACCCCCACACTGGGACCTTTGGTTACATGGTATTTTTATGTATCTACATATACTAGAGGAGATCAACCCCGGCTGCTCTTTAGAAGGCCAGATACTGAAGATGAAACTCAAATACTTTGGCCACCTAATGAGAAGGAAGGACCCCCTGCAGAAGAGCCTGATGCTGGGAACAATTGAGGGCAAAAGAAGGAGGGGGCGGCAGAGGATGAGGTGGCTGGATGGAGTCACTGAAGCAGTTGGTGTTGAGCTTAAGTGGACTCCGGGGGATGGTGGGGGACAGGAGGGCCTGGAGGAATGTTGTCCATGGGGTCGCGATGGGTCGGATACGACTTCGCAACTAACAACTACTACTACTAGTACAACAACAACAACAAACATTTAATTTCTTTCTTTCCCCTCTCTCAGGAGGGCCCTTCCCTATCCAAAATTGCATTGAATCACAGGAGGGTTTAATATCCTTCCCTATTATTATTACTATTACTATTACTATTATTATAACATTTCTGTGCCGCCCCTTGCCGAAGCCTCGGGGCGGCTTACAACACAATAAGATACATTGAAATACAATAGAACATAATAAATTACCAATAAATACAGAAATACAAAAAATACACTGAGATACAATAATATAAAATTAAAATTAACAGTATAAAATAAGTAAATAAAGAATATAGGAGGAGGAAAGAGAAGGAAGAGGAAGTTGCCCTGGCCAGATCATATATTTTAACAATTAAAATGATGTTTAAATAAAAAGGTATTTACCTGGCGCCGAAAAACCAGTAATGACGGTGCCAGGCGGACCTCTTTGGGGAGTGAATTTCATAGGCTGGGTGCCACCGCAGAGAAAGCCCTCCTCCGAGTACTTACTCTCCTAATTTCTTTCATGGAGGGTTCCCGGAGAAGGGACTCTCCTGCAGATCTCAAGGGGCGGTCGGGCATATATGGACGTAAGCGCTCGTTCAGGTAGCCAGGACCCAAGCCGTTTAGGGCTTTATAGGTCATAACCAACACCTTGAATTGGGCCCGGGCTTCAATGGGAAGCCAGTGAAGTTGACGGAGGACTGGAGTCATATTCAATAAACAAACCTCAAATATAATGAACATTGTTATCTGTCAACCCCCTTTTCACCTTAATGCTATGACTTAAATTGTCATGAACAGCTTTACTCCAGATTTCCTTCTATCAATCACGTAATTGGAAAACAATTTTCCTCCCAGTTCTTTGCTGTTATTAATTTTACAGCTGTTAATAAATTTGTTATTAATTCTTTAATGTTCCATTAATGTTTCCAATTCCTTTCATGTAATGGTGACAATAATGCAATTCCGGGGTCAGCTTCAACATCTAAATTTACTATTTTACTAATTTTCTTAAAAACCACTTTTCACAACTTCATAATATTTTCACCACATAGGGAAATAAGCACCCATTTTCGGACTACAGCTTCAACACGCTTTCTCATACTTACTGTCCAGTGTCCACTGATTTTACCAGTGTCAGAAACGATTTCCATATTATATTGTAGAAGTTTTCCTTTATTTTTATTGACATATGTTTCAATATCCTCTTATCCCATGCTTTTCCCCATTCTTCCTTACTTAGGTCCCTTCTTAAATCTGTATCTCATGAAACCTTAGGAAGGTCATAGTAATCCTCCATGTCTAATGGTGAAATTGTTGGCAGAGTAGCAGCTCTAATGGGAAGATAACACTTGGGTGCTGAGCATGACAGTATTACACTGCCCTTTGCTCAGCCCCTGCTAACTTTGACCATTTTAATCAGAATTTCTTTGGACACTCAGAATACTGAATTCTACCCAAGTGGGTTAACACCACCCTTAATATAACTCCCAGGGCCTCAAGCCTGGGTAAGGGTTACACAGATGCTTCTCAGCTCTTTCCTTCCAATGGCTTTTAGGAAGAGTTGGAACCACTGCTGTGTTCGCCAATGCTTCCTAGGCTAGGAAGGAGGCCCAGATCACGTCAGGCTGCTTGCCTTGCACCGGGGTGCTCTCTCTTTCAAGGTCACCAAGGTCCTACTTCGTGGCAGGGAACAATATTCACTGGTCCTCTCCACTCAACCTGGTACCTTATTCGCTCCTTTTCTGCCTCTGTTTCAGAATGGATTTGGGTTTGGAGTTTCCAGAGTTCCTCTTCTGACGCCTTTCTTAAGCGCAGCTCCTCTTCTTGCCTGGCCTTGTCCAACTCGGTTTTGAGTAACCTAAGAGGTAAGCAAAAGCTTGCTTAGATATAAAGCAACCCCCTCACAGCAATGGGAGTACTATTAAACATAGAAACCTAGGAACAGAGTGAGTCAGAACATCTGGCTGGCTGCTAAGGCAATCCACCACGGTGGAGCAGATTTCAAGATTAGCAGCTCTTCAAAAAGCAAGTCACTTTACTTAACATGGCCATTGTGGGCATTTGCAGTGGGGAGGGAGGGAGAGTGAGAGAGTTTCAGTAGAGTGGAAGCAACTCACTGTAGGGCATCTTCTTTCTGCTGACAGAGCATCTGGATCCTCTGCTTTTCCTCCTCCTCTTTTTGCCACAATTCTTTCTGCAAACTTTGGATCTGAACCATTTTTTCTTGTCCTAAAGGTATCTTTGTCTGCTTCAGGTTAGTCTGCTCCAGTATGCTCATTTCCTCCAAGGAATCGCCAGTATGCATCTTCCATGGCTCCATTTGCTTATCTTCAGCCTTAGAATTCCTGCCATTAAAAGAAACAGGGTCACCCTCTACTGGGAATTCATTAGCCATGGCAGAACACTATATTATCCTTGGAAAAGGTCTCTCACCCAAGATTTCAAAAGCTCACTGGAAAAGGAGTAAGACTAACATGAGAAAATGGCAACCAATCAGTATTACCAACACCCACACCAATGAAAAGCATGCCTTGAAAAGAATTTTTCTGTCCATCTAAACTTGACAAAAGTTTGCAGTGCTTGATTTCATGGTGTAATCCATTCACTGCAAAGGTGCAGTTTCAACGATATGTTTTGGAACAAACAGGCCAGGGAACTTTTACAGTGTAGATATTTCTTTTTATTATAAACTGTTTTTCTAATAACTTGTTCACCATATGTCTGAAATGCAAAAAAGAATACAAATCTTTTCGAGAATTTAAAATGAATCAAAATGCCAGCAAAAATAATTATCAGTCAATGGAGGCTCCGGTATGATGTAGTCCCCACATATTTTGGACTGGGAAATAATAGGAAGATGGACTCTCTCCTTGAACTTTCTGAGCACCTGAACCTCTGGTTCCCCCCCACCCCCACGCCATTGTCAGAAATCTGTAAAATGAGTTACTGTAAGATGGTTTGGGCATTTTTTATTAGCCACACTGGTGATGCAAAATTTTATTGATAATCTGAGATAGAAATTATAAGAACACAGAAACATATAAACAAACAAATAAATAATAAACTGGGTTTTCTTAATCTAACAGATTTTGAAATGTTGCTTCTATTTGTGTGTGTTACCAAGCTGTATCTCATTTTAAATTAAAAAATGAGACTAGTAAAAAATCACCACAGAACAGGATATGAAATATTGCAGCTGCATCTGTAGATTTCCACAGGGACTGCCACTGTATGAAGCCTGCTGTAATCAAGACCCCTGTGCACCAGCATCCCTGCCACCCTCCAGCCTGTTCGGGTCTTGAGCGGGGGGGCAGGGAGGTCGTCTTGGCACACCAGGCACACAACTGCCTCTGGCCATGCAAATGTGCCCAAGGTCGTTGTTGACAAAATGATTCCCTCCACAGAGTTTAACCAGTCGTGAGTTTAACCAGTCGAGCGGGCATGTCGTGAGCGGAGCCGGCTGGTGCCGGAGGTCAGACTAGATGGCCCAGGAGACCCCTTCTGACTCGCTCTGTTTCTATGTTTCTAACCAGCGCAGCAGCAGCTTTCAGATTTCAGTTAGTGTGGGAAACTTGAGTCTGACTCTTTCTGCCCAACAACATACAATCAACCGAACAATGCTTTCCCCGATGGAAAAGTTCACATTTTGGTTGACGAACAGGTTTGCTCCTCTTCTTGGCACCCAAAACAAACTAAGATGCTTACATTGTAAGTGCCCCAGCAAAAGCACCCCTATTTGGGAGATTCTTGATGCCCCAGGCACATTTGTCCTATAGAAAGAAATTGTGAAAGATAGAAAGCTGAAAAATTTGAGGACATCAACTACCACCAGATATTTAACAATGTCTTAGAAGAACTAGACTGTAAGTCTACTAATGTGCAGATTATACAACAAAATGTGAGGCAGGATGTGAAAGTTGCCCCAAGATGCTAGATAAGGTAAAGTCTAATACACTGAGTTTCTTCATGCTATCAGTGGGTTTCTACTCCATGTGGCCATGTGTTTTCCTCCACTGCAGTAATTTTCAGTGTTTATGAAACAGTAAACAACACAAAGCACGTATCTGAGCATTGTCTAACCTGGGGCCAATCCACTTGGAGGGAAACAGCATTTTTCTGTATGCAGCCTGTCTATGCCCACTTCCCTTTAATCAAGCTGCTAAAAAAACAAAAAGCAAGAAGGAATAACTTGTTTAATGTTCAACTTGAGATGAAGTGTAGATGTGATCAAGCAAGCTAAGACTCAGAAAACATTCATAAATCTGATTTATACCTGACTTCTAATCCTGGCTTGCTTGAATACATTTAACTACCAACCTGGATTCCGATGTAACACAAAGCTGTCTCTTCCCAGTTTTCTTCGTTAACTTGCTCATATAGAAGAGGAACCAACATGCTGTATACACAGCACTTTGAAAACAATGAAGTAATCACTAGCAGCCAGCATGAATTTATCAAGAACAGGTCTTTGTCAGACTGACATGATCTTATTTCTTGACCAGATAAATCCCCTGGTGGACTGTGGGAATGGTGTTGACATAATATACCTGGACTTCAGCAAAGATTTGACAAAGCACCCCATCATATTCTGATTAGCAAACTGGCTAAAAGTAGGCTAGCTGGAACAACTATCAGGTGGATCCACAGCAAGGTATGGATACCAAATGTTAGATGACACAAAATCGGATGGGATACCTAATACCCTGGAAGACAGAAACAAGATTCAAGGTGATCCTGACAGGCTGGAGCACTGGGTTGAAAGCAACAGGAGGGAATTCCATAGGGACAAATGCCAAGTTCTGCACCTAGGAAAAGGGAACCAAACATACAGTGCAATATCCATGCGGGGCAAAATCACTGCAGGAAAGTCCTGCAAGGCCTAATTCAGGCAGCCTCCTGGAAGGAGGCCATGGACAATAACACTGAAATTGCTGAGAGGACCAAAGAAGACACACTCTGATTTCTTTCTTACCCACTCGCCTGGTACACATTGATTTGTCACCAATGTGGTCATTCCCAGCTGCTTACCAGATTTACACCCTAATGGGTCTTGAGAACCACTGAGGGTTAAGGCATGGTCCTTTGAGCATCAAATACAAAGTCTAGGTGGAGCAGCATCATTCATCACTGATGGACAGGCAATGGTGACTTCAACTTGGAAACCAAGCAGCAGCCTTTCAAAACTTTGATGTTTGTTGTAAGTGTTCTATATAGTAGAGTACCCTTCAGGCAAACTGANGGGAGCACTTAACAGCTACAATGAGATTATGAATAAAAATGTAACCAGACAAAGATATGGTCAAGGCCTGAGAGGCATCAGAAGAGTGGTAGGAAGTAGAGATGCTCATCTGCCATTTAAAAGGCATAATTTTGTGGCATATCTAGCAAACAAAATGGCAGTTTCTCTCCCAGCAACTGCTATTCCAAAAAGAAAAAAAAGAACACCAAGGATAAGGGTGCTACAGCTGCTGCTACCCCCAATAATGAAAACAAAGCTGTCACAAGAAACAAAATACTGAGAAATTAGAAGCCCAGCAAGGATTATTCTCTACCATATCACAAATAAGATGGAAAGCACTGAAACAGTCGCATAAGATAACAATATTCGAGCGTGTGCCTGCTTTACTTCCACAAGATTCCTTACTCAGATAAGCACCTCAAAGACAGAGAAAACAACAGTTGGCCCTCCCCTGGTCAATAAAGAAGAGCTTTTAGATCTCACGAGACCACCAGGCATTTTTTGGCAATAAAAGGAAATGCAAGAATGCTGGAATAACAAGGCTATGCCATGTGCTGACAAAACAGAATCCATTTTGCAAAAAGCTATAAATGGATGGTATGCTTCCAGATTTCCTGCCGGGGAGCTTTGGGAACCTGAGGGCCAAACCAGCATTTCGACTGGACAGTACTTCTAGGTAGCATGCTGCCAAGCATGAGGACGAAAGGGCAGAGAGCAGGAGGAGGAGGAAGAGCTGTTCGTGCAGCCCAGTGCTTGGGTCTGTGGCATACTGGGAACACTTCTCAGGCCTTGAGAGAGCACGCCTGCTGCATCTCCCAGGCCTTTCTTAGTTTTGGAACACTGCAAGATCCTCAGTTTTCATGCTAGGAATGAAGATGACTATGCCAGCTGGACTGTGAGTATCATAAGACATAGCTCTTACTCTGGGCATGACCGGTCTGGCAGATCAAAGTTCACTGGATGTGGTGCAGCTCTCTCTGCCTGTAAGATATCAGCATCTGTTCCAGCTGCCTCTGCTTCAGCTTCACTGGGACAACTTTTGCTCCTCTCCCTTGGCAGTGATCAAAATGCAAAAGAACAAAGGTTAGCGAGAATGTGCAGCTGGGATCCACAGCTCAGTCAATGCTGGAGGGCATAGGAAAAACCGACCCTACAAACAGTGAGGTACAAGCCTGCAGCTTACTTTGGCCTTGTCCTCAGCATCTTTTCAGTGTTGTTTCCTCAAATTATTTCAATGCATTAGNGATTAGGCTGAGTTCTCTTGTGTCCTAATTGGTCATAAAGAATCCCGCTTGTAGCCCCTAAAAAGTGTTTTTCCCCACAAAATTGCTCCCCTGCAGTGTGTGCACTAGTCGTGCCTTCTGGAAAGGATGGGGCAATCCGCAAGGGTACCTTCCCGGTGCCCAAATGTCCCTTTCGGTCGCCTCTGCTGATCCCTGGCTTTGCTCCTCTTTTAAGTCACCTTTACTCACATCCTTCTCTTGGGCTGAGGAGCTGTTGTCCTGCAAGAAGAGAAAACAAGGAGCAGAGGGTCTATCCCAACATTATCATTTTGGTAAGAAGACCGAAGCAGCAGGAGTCGGGACTGCAAGGAGGCCTCTACTGAGCTCAACTAAGATAATCTGTTAGCATGCACTGAGCAATTCCAGAGCCAGGTGAGACGATGGGGCCTGATTCCCCTGCTAGGCCCTGCTATCATAATACGTCAAACTTGTTTCAACAGCGGCGCTTGGAAACTGCAGTGGCAGTGATGCCAAGCTGTTAGAAGCATCTTGGATGAATTGCTAAAGCTGCGATAGGCCTCACCTGAGCAGTTCTGTGTTTCCTCACCCCGTTCTTGCCTAGTGAATTTGCTCCAGTGCCAAAAGGCACACAAGCAGCACAGTCCTTGCTTGCAAAGCAAAATGGTGCAATCAGAAGCTTCCAGGGGACACGCTTTACATTTCAAAGAAGGTAACACTGTCCACATAGCTTGTCTCATTCCAAAATCACTCTTTTGCCACCACCGCAATTGGAGTGTGCCTCCCAGTGTGTTAGTTCTGGTGCTAACACACCGACCCCAAAGTGTGCTCGCCTCTGCAGTAAAGCCCCAGTTGCTGCAAGACACACAGAGGGTATATTCCCCTCCTCCCCACTATTCAAGACCAAAGGTGGCATTGTATAGCCTAACATCTCCAAACAGAAGAATATCTGCACACCTCTGTGTGAGGGGAAGGTACCACGTTAAACTTCCACTCATTCTCACAGCAGGCCCAAACCAAACGTGCTGTCTGTACGAACAACAGCTCTGTATCATGTGCACAGGTCTGAATTCGGAAAGACAGCAACCAAGCCAGCAATACTCGAGCTGTGCTGCCTACAGCCAAACTCATTCCTTGGCTGGCTTGGTGGCTAGTTGCCTCACGTGGACAAGTGATCGCCGCTGTGCAACAGAGGAAATACAAAAGAGCCGAACAAAATATTGCAAGAGCTGTAAAAAGATGGGTTACTAGCTTGACAACCACAACTAAGGATCTGTGTATGTGCTCCTCCTCCGTCCAAGTGGATGGGCTCTCTCCAAGGACTTCTCCGCCCTCTGCTGCCAATAATGCCAAAGGCCCCTCCTGTTTAATCTTTGGACATGTGACTCCACAGGCAGCCCATCTCTTCATGCAGCTGGGTTAGCTTTTGCTAACCCAATTCCAAGTAAGGGCTTATGGGAAATGCACAGGCAGGTGTGTGTACATGGCATGCCATCGGTTCCCACCATACTAGAAGCTGGCCAGTGACTTGGACTCAGGTGCGTACCAAGGCTTGGGAGGATGAGGTCACATCTGTGGTACTCAAGCATCCTGCCTTCCCCACAGCTGAAGCCACAGAGGCACACACAATGCTCTACCATCCGCCTTGCTGTGGGTGAAGAGAAGGCTGGCAGCAGCTTGCTGGGACTCACACTTTTCATTCACTTCTCTGGTCGCCATGTCTACCAGAACAAGTAGTTCCCAGAGAAGGCCACACAGCTCACATGTGCTAGTTACCTTCTGCTTCCAAGCGCTTTCAACAGTGGCCCTGCTCAACCCAAACTTTGGGCTGCCCAGGACTGGAGATAACTCTTCCGCATCCAGAATATTCTCCAAGACAAGACTCTGGAAACAACAGCAAGGGTTAGGAGAGATTGATATCTTCAGAGACCTCCCAGTTTCTCCACCCTACCCAATCCCACAACACACAAAGTAAATTTTTAAAGTAAGTAAATTTTAAAGAAAACATTAATTTTTCTCTGCTTCTTTGGCACAGGATCTTTCCTGTGTCACTTTGTATATTCTGACTGCTCATGAGCTGAACTATTTCCAAAAAAAGACCAAAATTTAAAGGGCCGGATGTCCTCAGTCCTAGAAGACACGGAATACTGACTGCAGGCAACTGGCCCATGTGGCAGCCAGATCTCAACATTAAAGCTGTCCAGATTCCAGCTAGATGCCAACTTGCGTTGCCCCTTTTTCTCTAGTGGTGGCTCCTTCCAACACTGTTAGAAGACAAGAGGCAGATATTTTTATTGGTCACTTCTCCAGTCCCCCTTCCTCCAAGCTACATAAACAAAGCCACCCATGTTTTCTTTTCAATAACTCTGTGAAGCAGACCAGGCTCAGAGAAGCTAGCATGCCCAAGGCTAGTCCGTGGCCTCCGAAACTGAGCAGGAATTTGAAACCAGGCTTCCCACAACTATGTACACAGTCCTGTGTTTGAATCCACCTATCCCATCTGGGTTCCCCAACAATACACTACACTGATGGGTGATACCATAAGCTGTTTCCCCTGTCTCGCAAGATACCAAAGAGAAAAGACATAAAGCAGGTAAGACCCCTGGAACCTGAACCCAAAGCTATTGTTGTTGTTGTTATTTTATTTTATTAGATATATAGCCTGCTTTTTTTCTTATAACAGACTCAAAGCAGCATGCATCATTTTCTTCCTCCTGTATGACCTTCAGTATAGACAAGGTCTAAATGTTTTAAATAAATACTTAATAAATAAAGATGTGCTCAGCAGCTGCCCAAACGCCCTTTCAAAAATAAGGATACTCCCAGTCTTTCAGAAGGCATAAATGGAGAAGACGCTTCACAGGTAATGGTCCAATATGAACCCACTATAGAACAACAGGCCAAGTAGGAAGAACACCAGACAGTTTGACTGAGCAAAACCACCTCGTTGCTCCCGTCTTCCTTTTCTGTTCCATCAAGGATCAAGTGGCTCAAGGAAGATGCTGCCACCACCGCTGTCGCGACTGCTTCTTTAGCACCATCCATGGATTCAAACGGGCTCTTCTTGCAACTGTCAGGCTGTGCAACACATACAAGCATTAGCAGGCGTGTGAAGAGGAAAGCATAATGAAATTTCCTTAACGAACCAGAGCACAGTGAGGATTTTGCTTATTTACCACTGCAACTGTTTGGGCCAGTTCTCTCGGTTCCACTGGGCTTCTTCCATCAGGAAGCACATCACAGAGGGCACTCGCTGGAGCACCTACAAACCCACGCAATGGAGCAAGATTCCCCAGAGGAGACTGCACAGGGGCTAGTAAAGGTCCTGGAGCCTGAGGGAAGGGAGAGAGGGCAGAAACCAGGTAAGGTGGAAGTGGTCATGCCTATGCAAGAAGTTCAGGAGGGGAAAGGAACTCCAGAATTGCCTTGCTGCATCATTCCAAAAGTCCATCTCATTCAGCACAACTGCTGGGAATAGCTTCTGGGAGGAGAACATGGAAGCAATGGCCTTCCCCTGCCTGACCCCGGCACCTGATATTCAGAAGAAACCTGTCACTGTGGCAAGGAACCTTCACTAAGAATCATATGTAAACCAAATCTCCCTGAAGTCACCTGCACTTTTCAAATGTGGAACTAAAATTCCCAGGCTTCCCCCCCNCCCCCCCACCAAAAAAAGGGGCTCTTCTTATAGTATTTTACAACTGACTGAAATCTACAGTGCTGAAATGCGCTTCCATGCACCAGCATCTCGCTTATGCGCTAAGGAAGCCAGGTGCTTGCTCTCTGAGGTGCAGTCCTTCAATACAATACAGGACATAAACATTTAATAAACATTTTTGTGGTCACCCTAAGAACAAACAAAGTATTAAAGGTATCTACAGAGTGAGGGAATTTTAGGCTGTCCATTATTTTCTGTGGGCTTCCTTCATTTGCATTCAAATGTTCAATAAAGATGCCAAAACTTTTTTAAAATGAAGGTATTCTGGAAAAGAACATCAAACTGGCAAGCTGGGAGAGAAATCACCCCAAAACACTTGGATTTGTTCAAACCCAAGTTCAGGTAGAATTTGTAACATGTATAAGAAAAGAGACCACCATATTCAAGAAGACATTAAAAGGAAACCTAAAATGAACAAAATAAATTAAAAACAGCAATTTCTTTACACACATCAAAGGTGTGAAACTGGCCAAGGATGGAATGGACTGTCTAACTACAGTGTGAAAAAAAAACGTGTTAAAGGAGAAAAGGTGATGGCAGAAGAGCTGCCTTGAGTACTGAAGAAGGGGGCAGGCGATTTACAGGAGTCTGGAGAGCCGAGGCAACTAGTAGTGACAAGAGATGAGTCCCAAGTCTTACCTAAAATTAACTCATCAAGTTATTATTCATCAGAGAATTTGTCATAATTCATTTTTAATGACCCTTTCCCCGTTAAATATTATAAAATAATAACTAAGAGTTTACCAACAGTTTAAAAAGCAACTATAAACCAGATAAATGCATAAATGTATGGCCATAATTCATATGTGCACCTGCTGAATGTCGAACAATGCAGCATGTTCCTGAGACCAGTCTCTGGATCTGACCTTTAGCAAGTGGCGATTGACCAGAAAATGGACCGTGGTGTTGCAGTGCATGGGTTGATGACGATGTCAACCCAACATCCTATCCTTTCTCCCAAGATTAACCACAAGACAGT